TTTTTCGTCATCGCCATACAAAACCCGCCGGTCCTCTTCCTCCTCCTCCTCCTCGTCTCGTCTTCTTCTTCTTCTCTCCTCCTCCTCCTCCTTTCGCCTTGTCCTTCTCCTCCTCCTCCTCCTCCTCCTCCTCTCGTCTTCTTGTTCTTCTCTCCTCCTCCTCCTCCACCTACTTCTGCCTTCTCCTTCTCTCCTCCTCCTCCTCGTCCTCCTTCATCGTCTTTTTTTTTTGTCTTCCGTCGTCCCCATACAGTAGCGGCAGGTCCTCCTCCTCCTCCTGCTCTCATCTTCTTCTTCTTCTCTCCTCCTCCTCCTCTCGTCTTCTTCTCCTCCTCCTCCTGCTCCTTTCGTCTTGTCCTCCTCCTCCTCCTCCTCCTCCTCCTCCTCCTCCTCCTACTTATTCTTCTCCTTCTCTCCTCCTCCTCAACCTCGTTCATCATCGTCTTTTTTCTTCTCTCATCCTCCTCCTCCACCTACTTATTCTTCTCCTTCTCTTCCCCTCCTCCTCGTCCTCGACCTCCTTCCTCGTCGTCTTTTTTTTTTCCATCATCCACATACACCACCAGCAGGTCCTCCTCCTCTTGCTCCTTTTCCTCCTCTCGTCTTCTTCTTCTTCTCTCCTCCTCCTCCCCCTCCTCCTCCTCCTCCTCCTCTCGTCTTCTTCTTCTTCTCTCCTCCTCCTCCTTTCGTCTTGTCCTTCTCTCCTCCTCTTCCTCCTCTCGTCTTCTTCTTCTCTCCTCCTCCTCCTCCACCTACTAATTCTTCTCCTCTCCTCCTCCTCTTCCTCCTCCTCGACCTCCGTCGTTGTCTTTTTTTTTCCGTCATCCACATACACTACCAGTAGGTCCTCCTCCACCTCCTCCTCCTCCTCCTCCTCGGCCTCCTCCTCCTTTTGTCTCGTCTTTCTCTCCTCCTCCTCCTCTCCCTCCTCCTCCTCCTCGTCTTCCTCCTCCTCCTTTCGTCTCCTCATCATCATCGCTCTTAGTTTGGTTTTTCTTTTCTCCTCCTTTCTTCTCCTTTCTTCTTCTTCTTCTTCTTCTTCTTCTTCTGCTGCTTTCTTTTTTTTCTGCTTCTGCTTCTTCTTCTTCTTCTTCTTCTTCTTCTTCTTCTTCTTCTTCTTCCTCCTCCTCCTCCTCTAACCCCTCCCCTCAGCGGACTGGCTGC